AATTACTTTCCAGCCATGAGGAGGTAAAATGACTTCACTATCTGTCTTGTCACGGTACTTCACCCTCTGAAATTATGAGCCTAAATAAACCCTCTCTCCCACTAAGTTTGGTTTCTCAACTATTTGGTCACAGTGGCAGAAAACTGATTTACAGGAAGTATTAATGATGCTATTTTTAGTCTTATTGGAATAATGTAAAGAAAATACAGGATTAATGTAGATGCCATTATTATTATGACTATCAGCACTTACATTAATTACAAATATACTTCCATAATTGTGCCTTTTCTATATTGACAACACACATATTGACATAGCCTATCTGGATTATGCAAATTCTTTAAATATATTCACTTGTATGAAAAAGCAAGAGTATAAAACAACATTTTATTTCATTCCAATGCTTCAATTTAATCAGAAACTCAACTTTTCCCAGACAAGCATTCTACAATCTGAGCCACTTGTATTAGTTCCCTTTGAGATTACTTTTAATTTTTCGGGTAATGAATTTTGAAAAATAAAGAGCTTTCCCTTTGGTAGTTCCATTTATGTAAACAGAGTACTTGGAATAAATTCACTCCTCTTATATTCCCATTCTTTTTTTTTGGGGGGGGGTCCAGTCGTGGGGCCTGAACTCTGGGCCTGGGCGCTGTCCCTCAGCTCTTCAGCTCAAGGCTAGCACTCTACCACTTAAGCCACAGTGCTACTTCTGGCTTTTTCGTTTTGCCTAGGTGGTGCTGAGGAATCGAACCCTGGGCCTCATGCATGCAAAGCAAGCGCTATACCACTGAGCCACCTTCCCAGCCCCCATATTCCCATTCTTTTTCTTCCTGCTTTCTGCTTTTCCAAATAGCATTTAATGTTTATGTTATGCACATACATATGTATGTGTGTATATATATATACACATTAGTTAGAACAAGTAACATTTTTTCTTGGTCAGGTTTTTTCACCTAACACAAGGGTCTCTAATTTTATCCATTTTCCTAAAGATGACATCATCTCATTTTTTATGGATGAAAAATACTTAATTGTGTATATATACCACACTAAACTATCTAGTCTCTCTATATCTTTTGGTATCTGATCTAAAACATTAGTCTTCAAGGCAATTTGCTGTAAAATAATTTGTACATAATGGCTCCAGATAATTGATATATAAAAATTATGATTCATAATCATCTTCCAATTTGAAAAAAATGATGAAAATATTGGCAGTCATAATCTTGAAGGTCATAGGAGTCCATTTCCCTTATCTCTGAATAGGAATTCCAGAATTTCCTTGTTCATATCTTTATATAATTGGAATACTTGAAAGCATGATAAAATGAACACCTATACATATTTGTAAGGTTGCATCTTTGAGTTATTCTAGGAAGACTGAATCACCTATGGCAAGGAGGCCTCCTGCTGAGTATAATGGAGTCTCATATACTGAAAGACAAATTAGCTACTATTTTCTCTATTATCCAAAGGCCCTAAGCAATCAGAAACACTAAATAAGATTTCTGTTCTTGGTAACATATTAACAGTACATTATGATTCAATTTACTTTCACTAATGTGAAATTGAGATTTAAAAGCTTCTAGGGCAAAGAAAGACTTGATAAATGGGACTGCATCAAACTAAAAAGTTTCAGCATGGCACAAGGCATAGCCAGCAAGCCTACAGAATGGGAGATTTTTACCAGCTACACATCAGACAATGACCTGATACCCAGAATACACAGAGAATTTTAAAAAATTAGGGTTTCATAAAACCAACAAGAAGATTAATAAATCAGTTAGTGACTCCTTTTAAGGAGTCTTCTCAGAAGAATTTTAAAATGTCCAATAGACACATGAAGAAACGCTCAACATCTCTGGCCATAATGGAAGTGAAAATCAAAACATCATTAAGATTCTATTTCATACCATTTACAATAGCCATTATCAAGAAAGTAAATGATAACAGATGCTGGTGAGGATGCAGCCAAAAGGGAACTCAAATACACTATTACTGGAATGTAAGCTTGTTCAACCACTCTGAAAAGCAGAGCGATTAAACAACCACCCTATGATCCAGCAATTCCACTCCTAAGCATTTATCTAAAAGATTACAAGCCACAATACAGTAAAGCCACTAGCATAGCCAGGTTTATTATATCATTACTCACCATACCAAAATATAGAACATCCCAGATACCCCTCAGTAGAAAAATGGAACTAAAATGTGGTATATAAACACAGTGTAATTTTACTCATCCTTTAGAAAGAATGATATTGTACCATTTGGAATAACATGGAAAGACGTGGGGAAAATTATATTACTTGAAGTAAGTCATGTCCAGAGAATCAAAGGATCCTTGTTTCCCTCATATGTGGAAGCTAGATTTAGCTAACAAACTCATCAGAAAATATGTTGGCTGGCATTCAAGTGTAACCAAATGTATTAACTGAAATGGAAATACGGTAGATTCAAGGGGGATCTCAAGTAGAGATGCTTAGATTTCCTTAGAATTCTTTTTTAGAAAGGTAAAATCAAGGTTCAACAAAATAAAACATCAGGAAGCTGGTACCAAAAGGGATGGTGTGGATTCAAAGTGAAAGAGGTAGATGAATATTCAGAGAAGAGGAAGAAAATGTAGTCAAGAATTCAACGTATATCCTATAAAATTAACAAGAGTGAGGGAAACAGGAAGTAGGAGAGAGATAGGTGAGAACATTGAAAGGGTTGATATTGCTCAAGATGCATTGTATTCATAAACTGCTTTGTGATATTGCAACTCCTTTGTAGAACTACTTAAATAGGAGGGGGAGAATCTTCTGGGGATATATGGTACTCTGGGGAGGACATTAGAGAAATAAAATTATGCAATAATTTGTGCTTTTGCTTAAGGATAAGGGACATTTATGCCCAGGTAGCTAAGTGGCAGAAAGGAGAGATGCAATTCTGCATTCGGAGCCTATGAAGTGAAAGGCTGCAGCAAAAGTGGAGTTGTTTTCATAATGTGCTGAAAGAGAAAAGAGATGGCAGATACACCCTTAAATACCTCAGACAAAAGTATAACTCTTTAGGGACCTTCACACATGCACCACTAATTTTGAGATGGGCCTGACATACTCAAGTAAAAGAAACAACGCCATGAAGGGCTAACATGTGTTCAAGTGTGTTCCCTTCACAACTCGTGTAATTCTATACCCCACTACCTCCAACGGTAGCTATATAGGAATAAGGCCTTTAAAGAGATTATTGTATCATAAAGAGGCTACTGTGGTGAGCCTTAATCCAATCTGACCACCATCTATCCATTAGTGGCGATTTGGGCACTTAAATTTGGGCATATGACAGAGGAAAGATGAGTGAAGATATAGCAAGGAAGGGACAGTATGGAATACCAGGAAGAGAGGCTTCCCAAGAAACCACATCTGCCGATTACTTGATGTTGGACTTTCAGCCTCCAGGACTGTGAACAAATAAATTTCTACTTCATAACATAATCTTGCTGCGGTATTTTGTCCTGACAGCAAGAGGCAATCAAGTGCCTAAGTACTGATTGGACTTCAGGTTGTTCTTATGAAACACAAACTTTAGGGATTTTGTGCATAAATGAGAGAAAACACTGGCTTAGGAAATTCCTGGACTTTACAATAAATTGAAGTATGAAAGGATGTGTAGCCACAACTACTATGTTAATATTAATAATGCATTCAATAGTTTTAATATTTTCCACATTATAATAAATTAGTTGTTGTTACAGAGGTTCCATTTTGACATTTCCATGTGTGTTTACATGTGTGTGTATACCTCCATCAGACTCTCAGTCCTCCATCACGCTTCTTCATCCCCCACCCCTTTCCAAACCAACCATGACTTTTTCTTTCCATTTTCGTGAATGTATATTAATGATTTGAACCATACTTATTCTCCACACTCTTTTAAAGAAAGATTTTATTTAATGATTAAAAATATGTACTTAGTCTCCTGAGATTTGAATACTGGTTCTAGGTGTGATTCTGTTAAAGTTAGTTAATGTCTCTAGAATTTTTTTCTTCAATGGCTACAAGATTAAGTTCATGAGTTTTACACGATGAAATGAACTCATCTGGTATAAGAACATAGTGATGTATGTGTTGGTTATCATGAGTATCATTATTGTCATCAATATGCAAAGATAATTTTCAAAGTAGATCCCTGAGACAATCTTCACAAAAAAAATTAGGTGATGGAAAGGTATGAAATAAAATGACTTACCTTATATCATTATGAAGTGATGGATCCAGAATTTGATGTGAAGTATCACAGGCCAATAAAGTGAATGATTACTTAGTCATTTGCTGGACTACATAGAAATGAGATTTATTTGCAAAGCATTATTTAAAACACCAAGTGTTTTTATTTATAAAGTAAATAATGGTCCAATTTATTTTTCTGGATGAGAAATTTGCAAATTAAGAAGTTTCATTTCTTTTACCACTGCAGAGAGAATGCACAACTGTAGCGATTAATCATGAAGTAAACCATTTGTGATTCCTTGTTGTTCTTTAGAAAATGTCTCTAACATATTTATTTAGTAATGTAACTATCTAAGTATCCAGTGGTGAATAATGATATAGGAAGCTAATAAGGTACACCAAAATAAAGCTTTTAGGTAAAAATTGTTTCACATATGCATATTTATTTTTATCTTTTCGAGGTACTTAAAAAAATCTCTTTTTGGTTTGGTTTGATTGGCCAGTTTTTAAAATAAGCAGTTACTACATAGCACAGTCTGGCCTGGAAATCACTAGGTAGTCCAAGTTTGGAACTCATATCCTATTCAACTTCCAAAATGCTGAGATTGAAGAAATACATCGCCATTTCCATCTATTTTCTTAATTTTGATTCTCACTTATTCAAACAAGTACATATATCTGAATCTCAGATCACACAATGCAATCTACAATAAATACTGATTGCATTGTTCTCATTTATGAGTTCTTCCATTTTCAAACAAGCTTAAGTTTGATAAATGAAGGTACTCAAATATTTTGTGCTGCACATATATCTGATTGAAGAAATACTTCTTTTTTTTCTTGAAGTACAAAATCATATCTGCAAAATGGTAGTCTGTGAAAGAGAAAGAATAAAAAGTAAATATTAATACAAGCCAGGCCCAAAGAAACATAGGTTCCATGGTTTCCCTTATTTGCAATAACTAGTATATGTCTGGGACAAGTAGAAAGGTCAAAAGCTATATACATATGATGAGATAAGATGAAGTTAGGTGAAATGGACCTCAAGATAGGAACGAAAGTGGTTTTTTTTCTTTCTTGCTATTGTTTCTAACACATTTATAAGGTACCATGTGATTTTTGTTGTTGCTTTATATGTTCCTCCCCCACGGTATAACCCGTTTTCACTGTTTTTGATGTTGGTGTAATTTAGGGAGGGGAAGAGAAAAAACAAAATGTTTAAATAGGGATAAAGGTTGACCCATTGCAACAATAAGATGTACAAGACACTATGTTGAAAAACGAACTTTACAATTTAGGCTGGGGGGAGGGGGAAGTGTAGTTGTGGAGGTGGGAAGGAAGGGATGGTAGGGGAAAAACAACGGAGGAGGCAGCAATGCTTGATAAGAAATGTGCTCATTACCTTGCTCATGTAACTGTAACCCTTCTGTACAGTATTTTCACAATAAAAAACGTATTAAAATAAAAAACATATCACTCTTGATATTGAATTAAGAATATATATTCAGGACAGAAAACTAAAAGAGACAGGATTGTTAAGATTCTATTAAAAGTATCAAGCAGAACTGGCATAGTTTAGTCAAGTTTCTAGCACTGTAGGTGGGGAGCATGGCTGTGTTCTGTGGAATGTGACACAGAGTCGATGATAAAGCCCCGTCCAAAAGTTTTGGCTCAAACAACAGGAGATATCTTTCTCTCTGTGTTTTAACAGAAATACAAAAATAAAAGACAAAGAAATGGACTAAGAAGAAGGAGAAGAGGCTCTAGCTAAAAGCATAGTAAATACATTTCACGTATTTTTTTTACGTTTTGTAAAACATCCATATAAATAGCTTAACCCCATCCAGTATCCTATCCGTTACAAATGTTTCACATTTTTGTAGACATTTATAAAATATAGATTTTATTTTTTTTATTCTGATGTCAGCAAACAGATTGATGTTCTTTATATCTTGCCTCAAGCTTTTATCTGGTGCAAATATAAACATTTGTCTAGATTTACTTCTGTCTGTTTACTAGTTTACATTTAATACTCAGCGATAACTGCAACTAAATTTTATGTGACATAAAAAGTCACTGTTTTTTCACTTGTCAATCATTTGGCATAGAATCATTTAATTGCTAGGCTATCTATAGAAATACATGTTGTTTTCTGTTACTGCATTTACATTCCTCTACCAGCATTGGATACTTTTAATTTTTGCTGTTGCAGAGAATCCTTTAGAGTTTCAGAGATAAAGATATATAAACTTTCACGTTTTTGGTTCATCTTAATATCATTTGAAATTCCAAATTAGGAGTCAATATTATTTTCAAGATAAATCTGTATGTGTATTTAAGAATTCCCATTGCTGCAATATCAAATCCTCTGATCTGTGAAAAAGGTTGCATGTAAAATTTGTATAATTTCTTTATCATAAAGTTCTCTCAAATAAAATTTATAAGAAAAGATTTAAATGTTGCACTCTTTTTGGTTTCATTTGTATTTCATTGTTTCCACTCCAGATTTATATCTTCTTTGCTTTACTTGAGAGCATCAAAGCATCTCCTCAGCAGATAGTTCTCTTGAACCTGTCTCTTTTATTGTGACATTACATATACTCATTTGCATTTCATTTATATTCCCAAATATAAATAAAGAAATGTGCATAATTCATATATAAATATATTCAATTATATAGCCTAGCCTTTTCTAATACTAATGTCTTTATTCTTTTTTTTTAGGGGGGGGTCTGGTCATGGGGCCTGAACTCTGGGCCTGGGCGCTGTCCCTCAGCTCTTCAGCTCAAGGCTAGTGCTCTACCACTTGAGCCAAAGCACTACTTCCGGCTTTTTTCTTTTTGCTTATGTGGTGCTGAGGAATAGAACCCAGGGCCTCGAGCATGCAAGGTAAGTGCTCTACCACTGAGCCACCTTCCCAGCCCCTCAATTCTTAATATAAAAGGTTTTATTATATTGCTGACTGAAATGTCTATTTTTTATGCTTTTCATAGCAAATTTTATGTTGGTTTCAGTTATTTAACCCTTCACCCTCTCGGTCATTGCATCATGTCCCTTTTTACCTATGCTTTCATTGGGTGCTGTTTAATAAGTGTATTTTTGAACACAGAGTAATACCGTATGCTATTTCTATTTTGTGTAGTTCTTTGTAATAAATTTTTTAAAAAGTAAACTTTGTTTCTAAACTTCAATGTAAATTTTTCTTTCTTGTGTCATGGTAATGAGAATACTTAATTCATCATTTGCCCATGCAAAAATAGAAGTTTTCACTATTTATTTAATTTTACATGTATGGAACTAAATTTTTCTTACCTTGAGATTGTGTGTTCTTTCACATACAAACACTTGGACTAAATGATTAATATCTTGTTAAGATTTTAACAAGTGTGCTTCTTTTAGACTAAGTGGGAAAATGTTTCTTTTTTATTTATAATACCATAAAGAGAATATATTACCCCTGCACAATCTGAATCATTTAAATTTACATTCAAGGAACAGAATATGTAAAGCCACAACCTCTAGACTTCAATGCTCATGGTTTTGTTTTTGTTTTTTAAAACATTGAGAAAGGAAAGATTGTAGGGAGGTTAGGTTAGTATGATAGAGATTTGAGGTACAACAAATACAACTTCACTCATGTTTAATGAAGGGTTTGCATCTTAAAATTGTAAAATGAAAACATCAGCTATAGATTAAAAATACAGACTAAACTGGGCACTAGTGGCTCATGCTTGTAATCATTGCTATTTAGCAGTCTGAGAACTGAAGACTGAGGTTTGAAACTAGCCCAGGCAGACAAATCTGATAGTCTCTTATCTCTAATTAATCAGAAGAAAAAGCTCTACTTGGAGATGTGACTTGGGTGATAGACTACCAGCCTTGGGAGATAAAGGTAATAGACTAATTTCTTCATGGTTTGAATCCCTGAAAATATCCACATATTTAGTCCATTTTTAAGTACTTCAATCAAGGGCAAAACACAATTAACTTACACCCAGTTTTTTTCCTCACAATGGTATTTTATTGACTTTTGAATGATTAAATATTATCCTACCAGAAGTAAAAGATGACAGTATTTTAACTACTTTTCCAATATCTCACTGTTGATATAGATTGATATAGATATCATCTAAATATACACTTATTTCTATAGACACAGGTATAGATCTATAGATCAATCTCATCTAAAATGCACACATAGATAGATTGATATAGATATAATTTCATGACTCATCTGTTGACTTATACTTAGTTTGCTAGTCTGATTCCATAATTTGGCCATATTGAATAATGTTTCCTGACTTGATTCCTTTGCTACTACACCCAGTTGTGAAATAGTTGAATCATATGGTACATCTCATTTTAATTTTTAGAGATTCTCCAAACTGATTTACATAGAGGTTAGAATAATTATAGTCATATCAACAGGACATAACTATTTCTTTCCCTCACATACTTTCCAGTATTTAAGAATAGCATATTAAGGGTGTCATAAAAAATTCACTAGAGCATGTGTGCCATTTTAATAGGAATGGAAACACTTGTGATAAACTGACAAACTAATAAAGATGGGTATAATACTAAAGTGTGAAAAGTAGATCTCTGGTTGGGATCTGTAGAATCTTAGATAGAGCAGAGAAACTAGACTTTCTTCTTTTTGAACAAAAAGATAACCACAAGAAACCGGAAATAGCACTATGGCTCAAGCAGTAGAGCGCTTGCCTTGAGCTGAAGAACTCAAGGACAGTGTCCAAGCCCAGAGTTCACACCCCTCAATCAACAAAAAATAAATAAATACAATCACTCAGCCAATATATATCATATATAAGAATTACTTATGAATACCTGAGGAATCTGCTTGTCTCAAAATTTCACCTTTGTTGTGTCTTATGTATTAGTCATGCTTCTGCTTTCCTTACACAAGCTAGTGTGTAAGAAATTAAATTTTATCCAAACAAAAAAAACTATATACGTTTTAATCTTTTCGTATTCTAATATTTATGTACAATAGAGCCTGAAAGAAATAGTAAAAATAAATTTGGCTTTGTCTTCTTAAACTGTTACCCAACAGACCCATATTCTTAAGTGTAAAATAACATTTTGAAATAAAATCTAGTTTCCTTACCTTTCAGGATATGTAAGTGATTTTAACACAAGACTCTGTATTTTATATTGGCAAGTAGGACATTGCAGATTTAAGCTCTGGGAATATGTCAAAGCAATGCTGGAAATATTCACAATATCGCTTAAAAATTGAGCAAGAATCTTTACTTCTTGAAGTTTGTCAAATGGTTTGCTTTTCCTAAACAAAAGACATATAATCAGAATAATAACTATATTTGGAATACTTTAATTCTAAAATCAATATATTTTATAAGACAAGTTACAAAGAACAATCTACATGGAAAATGCCACAAAAAACAATTTGTCAAAATACGTTAAATAATTTAAGTGACAATTTATAACAAAAAAGTAATAGTAACAATATATTCATTCTCCTAGACAAATATTAAAGATGTATTTAAAAGTGAGTTCTCTTGACTTTCTATGAGAATGACTAGATTATAAATTTCTCTAAGATTGGTCATCTTATAGTTCCTCCTTTAGATTGTTCAATTATTACATTTCATAATCTAGGACTTTTAAAATTTTTTCCTGTCCCAATTTGTCAAATATATTTAAATAAAGAAGTAATCTATAATGGTTCAATACCCAAAAGAAACATAATGGTAATAATTTCTGAATTATAATTTTGTGACTATTCACAACAAATGAGAACAGTGATGATACTTCCCAGTTCTGACCTGATTTAACTACCTTAACAATTCCTTATACCATGAAACATTCCCATTTTACAGAAGTAAAAACTGAGTATCAGAGAATACAGATGTCTCTCTTAATATCATAGAGCTAATAGATAATGAGCTAGAATATAACAACACCACATCTATGTCCTTTACATGTCTGTCTTTCCCCTTCTTCGTCCTTACATGCCAGAAATATCCACTGGTTTGCATGCCTCAAGAATGCCTAAAGCTAATAAATTCTACTCTAAATGCTTTATCCTCCCAATTGCTCTCCCTTCTCATCAAAAACAATAAGAAAAAGAAAAAATGAAATATGAACTTTAAACTTACACATTTCCTACAGAATAGAATAGTACCAATCTTCACCTTAGTCTTCTTTTCCCATACCCACATACAACTGGTCAAAAATTCTTATGACTGTCTAGCAAAGGTCTTGAATCTTCTTCGAATCCATAATTACCTATGTATTTCAAAAGCATATATCCCCTCAGCAATTCCACAGTAGTTAGAGCAGGAATTGGAGATGGAAATTACTTTTCCAAACAATTGTTTTTCCATAATAAATATCCAATCTTGACCTCAACTAGACTTCTCTAACTAAAACATTATAAATTTCAATGTGCTCAGTGACTGAATTATAAACTCATGGCTTGTGCTTATTTCAGTAGATACATACCCTCTTGCTTTCCCTGCCTCTAATTTCAAGCATAATATTCTGTCAGCTCCATATTTTTGTATTTGTAAGAACCTGGAAATCAGAATGGCATTGACTTGTGCCCATCTGAATCTCCACTAATACAAAATATCAGTATAGCAAATTTAATGGCCCCATAAAACCATATCCCCTGATTTAAGTTGCCATGTACACTATCATTTGCTTCAAGACATTTTTCAAGGAGATATATTAGTCATTGAATTTTATAACCATATGATTACCTTTATGTTCCTCATTAAGCTCTAAGCTAAATGAGAAACATGTCTGTTTGGACAAACCTTTAGCATTCCACTGAGCTCAAATGCAGATAACCATTAAAAGTTATTTGGCCAGAGGAAAGATGGACATTATCATTTTATTTCTATTATTAATTTAAAGCCTATCTACTACCCTCGACTGAAATTAGTAAGGACAGAGATCTAATTTGTCAGGAACTTTATTCCCAATTTTTAGCTAGTCCCTGGCCTAAAGAATCTCTCAAAATCCTGTATTGAATCATCAAATTGTATGCTCTCCATGTGTCTTCTAGCTTGGTACAGAAACATGCTGCTATTTTTTAAATTATCTGTAAGTAGTTGTACAAAATAGTTGTCACTGAACAAAGGAGTGTATGAACACAATGTACCAATGCACCTTCATTACTGCCATCCTTTCATCATTATTCATCATCCCTCCCAAGGCTGTCTCTTCACTTAATTTCCTTTTTTTCAATTTTCTTAATTTTGTAGGATATGCATCGAATTTTTTATTATTAATAAGTTTTTTATTGTGAAAATAAGGTACAGAGGGGTTACAATTGCATGAGCAAGGTAATGAGTACATTTCTCCTTTGTTCCGCCCGACCCCCACCCCCACCCCCTGCCACCAAAGTTGTAAAGTTTGGTTTTCAACATAGCATCTTATAAGTTTCATTGTTGCAATAGGTCTATCTGTATGCCTATTCAAACAATTTGTTCTTTCCCTTCCCCTCCCCAAATTATACCAATATCAAATACAATGACAACAGCTGTTATGCCGTGGGGGAGGGACATACAAAACAACAAAAAAAAATCACCTTATAAGTATGTTAGAAACAATAGCAAGAAAGAAAACCCGCTTGAGTCCTTATCCTGGGGTTCATTTTGACTAACATCAACTTATCTGACCTGTTCTGCTTGTCTCAGGCATATACTAGTTATTGCAAATAAGGGAAACCATGGGACCTATGTTTCGTTGGGCCTGTTTACTTCACTTAATATAATTCTTTCCAAGT